TCTTAAGATGGACATTATTAAAAGTTTTTTTGTTGTTGTTGTTATTGTTTTCTAAAACATTATGTGAATGTTTAAAGGCACAATCTTATCCCTTTATACGTGGGGAGGCGCCATGTTTGTCAGTGGATCTCATGATAAGACAATCCGTCTGTGGGACTTACGGTCCAGAGGCTGCGTTAATGTTATATCCGCTCCATCCGCTTCCGGTTCTGGGCCAGGTAAGATCTTTTAGACTTTTTTTATAAATTTGTGAGATGAACATTATATTCACTTATTCCAAACTTTTAATGCGTAGTTTTCTTTGTTATTGTTGTTCTTGTTACTTTTCTTTTTATAAAAGAAAATCGTAATATTTTTTTGTTTATTTATTTATTTATTTTATAGTCAGCTGAACAACATTTCGACTTTATTTCTTATTCGATTCCAATATTATTATTATTATGAAGGACATGTTAAAACAAATTCCACCATAATTTATCTTAGTGTAATATTGGTGTTAAAAATGGGACGACTTTATTAATCAGAAAAGAAAAAAATTGATGTCGTTTTAAAGCTTGAAATATTTAAAATAGTATATTCAGACGGATAGTGTCAAACTCAATGAGAAACGTCAAACTTAACTCCTTTAGGCCTAAATTTATAATCTATATTAGTACATTATACATCAATACTGTTAATTATTTCCACTTATTTTGGGCCGAGTGTGGCCTAGTCGATAGCGTGCCGGACTGTGGATTCGGGGGTCCGTTGCTGCAGAAATATATATATATATAATTAAAAAATTGCCCTCTTCAGTTTGGACCCGTAAGGGCGTTATAACAATGACGGTTAAACCTTACTATTCGATTAAAGTAACCAGGGAGCTGACAGTGGATGTTGTTGAGTAGCTGCCATCCCTCTAATCTCGGGACGGCTAGTGCATATAGCACTTGTATAGCTTTGCATGAAAATTCGAAACAAATTACTTATTTTACTATTTTATGATCCATCTCACGCTGACTATTTTTGATATACAATTATACATAGTTACAATCCAATGAAAGACAATGTAAGTAATATCACGTAAGAGAAAAGTTTTATTAAGAATATGTAGAGTATTTTGCAAGAAAACAAAAATAATATAATACAATTAAAACCCAACGATAATTAAGGGGCCCCAATGTACTTTTTTCTCCACGGACCCCATGAGGTCTAGTTGCACCACTGACCAATGTACGGAAAAATTTAAATGAAATAAATTTAAAAGTAAGGGTTAAGACTACTGCCCTTCAATGGGTTTTAATATTGTATACGACTTGATTTCACAATTTTATATTCTAGTTTTATCATTTCAACATCTTGACTGCATAATGTTATATTCTAGTTTTTCCACTGTTAACACTTAACTGCATAATATTCTATTTGTTTCGCTGTAAACAACTTACTGCATAATTTTCCCGAAAGGGGATCCAAGGCTGCCTGGAGGGATCACCTGTTTTAACCACTAGCACCAGTAAACAGTAGTGTGTTGTCTGTCAGTCAGCCATTAGACACTAAAATGACGTCACATAAGGGACGCTTAACGTCGCAATTTGTACAGTCGTGACGTCAGTAAAACGTGCGCATGCCATGAATCACGAGAAGAATTATGAACTCTATAGGCTACAACACAGCATGACATATGAACTTCAAAAGCAGGAAATAAAAATATTTATTACTCTTAATTTTCGTTTTATTCACTCTTGAAACAAAACACTTTCGGAGACCCTATGAAAGTACATCTAGTAATATATTCTATTTTTTTTACCGTAAACAAGTTGACTGAATAATACTATATATATATACTAGTTTTCTCTGTAGTTAACTTGATTACATGATGGTATATTATAGTTTATATATAGTTTTGTATATATAAACAGTCATTTTATATCACAACTTGATTACATGATGGTATATTCTATTTTACATATAGTTTTGTATATATAAACAGTCATTTTCCCGGAAGGTCCTAAAACTCGGTTTTGTTGTTTTTAAAGAGTAAATAATACTCTTTCCGTAGCCCCACCTTTAGCAGGGCTGACGAGAGGCGGGGGGGGGGGGGGGGTAAGGCGTGGCAGCTGTCCCGGGATCTGTTGAGGGACCGGGAATGGAATGTTCCAAAGCTCATTAGAAATGCCTACTGCTTAAAAGTCGAGATGGCTTAGTCTGTTATGTGATCATTAGCCGGATCAAGTGATATATCCACTTCCATCCCTATCTTGTTTGGTTCATTTTTTTAAATTTGGTAGCCAGCCCTATATAGCTTTATTTAGTGATAATGTTTTCCCTAATACTTTTTCTATTTCTCTTGCTTTTCTCAGGTATGTATGTTTTTAATTTTGTTCTTCATAGCAACTTAAAGGCTGAAATTCATTTGAATCATTGATCTGTTTTCATACATAGGAATGACACTACGCAACTAGAGTTGAAAAATGAACGTGATAAACTTCGGCTTTAGTGACAGACAGTACAATTCTAAATTTCAACACTTCATTTAGAAATTAGAAATGATCTGTTTTCATACATAGGAATGACACTACGCAACTAGAGTTGAAAAATGAACGTGATAAACTTCGGCCTTAGTGACAGACAGTACAATTCTAAATTTCACAACTTGAAGCCTATGATTTATTATGTGGATATTTCCTGGTAGCTTTCGTCCTCGATGCTCTATTCTATTCTACTTCAGTATTTAAGATAGAATGGTAAAATGTGTGTGGTTTCGAAGATGCTTAAAGAAAACGTGCAATACAATTTCTCATGCACTCGATAATTGTGTAGTTTCGTTCTAAGCCTAATGATGTACGTAGTTGTGAATTAATAATTTTCCATTATTAGGTATTTTCTGACTTATATCTTAGTTCTTGGACGTTTTTTGTTGTAGACTCTGCTTGTTACTGTTTTGTGGTATTTTGAAAACCCCGTTTTTTTAGCCTAATAAGTTGATATTAATGTATTCGTCCAAATTAACATATTCAGAAGACTTGGAATATTGCTAATAGAATTTGATTCAGTTGATGTAACTGACCTCTGAAGCTTAGTGTAGAAACTAACTTTGTTTTATAAACTTATCAGTCTTTTCATGCTGTCCCTAGATGGCACCAGCTATGTCAATATGTTGCCTACCTCTTGGACTTTATTAGTCACAAATTTCACTGCTGACATAGTAAATTCCCTAGAAATGAGAATCAACGAATGAATGAATAGTAGTTTATTACGTTAAGTCACTTTATATTTGCTAGACTTAGTAATTAATTTATACATTTGTTATTGTGATATTTTATAGTTGTAATATAAAACGCATTGTTCTCAAAATTGGAGTTTTATGAATGAAAATAATTGAAAGTAACAAAAACGTAACATTTTAGAAGTTTCAAGTTTACAATATATAAATATACGTGTTGTGTCATTTCAGGAAGCCCAGTGGCCGCAGTGTGTGTTGATCCATCAGGACGGCTGCTTGTCTCGGGTCACGATGATTCCACGTGCATGTTGTATGATGTCACTGGCGGGAAGATAATTCAGTGTTTTCAGCCTCATACCGCAGAAATTCGAACGATTCGATTCTCCCCCAAAGCCTACTATCTACTCACTGGATCTTACGACCACAAAGTTGTTCTGTCAGATTTACAGGGTGAGAGACTAGTAACTTGTAATCGTTTTCAAACCACGCAAACGAGATTTTATTAACAAACTAGTTATATAGCCCTCAAACGACGTACTAAACTCCTGCTTTTAAATTAAACTCGTCTTTTCCAATCGCTCTTAATGGAAGATATGACCGTTTCCTACTTTTTTATACTATGTCGTTATCTTTATCATGCTTCTTTTTTTACCATAGCAGTTGCTTTTAAATGATGTATACCAAAAAATGATCGTAAGAATGTTTTTCTAAATGCGATCCTCATTTACTGGAGGAGGAGGCTTTAGTATACGTTTAAATTGGAGTAAGTCTTTATAGATGAAATAGTAAACAAGCATATCAGTCTGCTGCTGAGTTTGCCATTAGGAGGGAGGGTGGTTTTGTAAAATGTAACCGACAGATGTCCCTGGACGTCGCTACTCGGAACTATAGGTCAACAATCTGAACGAAGCCACATATGTTACGTCCTATCCAAATGTTTATGTAGAAGCCAGCTGTGCCTGTCGAGTGCAAAAATTAGTTAGTCTTAAATACTGCTCTGCGAAACGCAAACACTAGTGACAGCACAGACAACAAAAACACACATTCCGGAGTAATAGCTTCCCTCGCTGTGAAAACCAAGTTCTACTCCAATGTTGCTGTAAACAGACTGTCAATTTCACGAGATTTTTTCCAGATATTATAGAACAAATAAAGCTGTATTTACAGAAGAGAAAACATTATACTCTCAAACAGTTCTCAACAATACATTCACTCGAATAATAAGTAAACAGATAGCCGCTGACAAGTTCGACCAATCCGAATCAAGTTAATAAGCCTGACGTACGCACGTAAAACACACACACTCGTTTATTAGTCTTAGGGTATTTCATGCCGAGTAATCCACATACAATAACTATTATGAACAAATAATATAGTCAGTTCCCATAAAATAGAATGTAAACAGCCCAAACAAATTAGCTAGTAGCTAGAAGGGAATAACTGACAGATTTGGGGAGACATTTTTTATTGGTATTAAATTTTTTTATTCTTTGCTTCCTAACAGATTTTCATCATTCTTTTGGTTTATTTGCTGTCTCAAAGACTTTGATTGCTGCATTAATATGCACCCTCGATGGCTCGGCGGAAAGTTTAAGAGCTTATAACGCTGGTATTCATCGTTCGATCCCTGCAGTAGGCACAGCTCAGATATTTTGTTGTACAGCTTTGCACTAAAACGTACAATATTTATGTATGTCTGTAGCTATAAACACGAGCACTTCCAATTGATAAAGTTTCACAATAAGACGATAAAAATCAACCCCGTACTGAGTATAGCTAATTATATATATTGTTCTTATATATAAATATTATAATGGATTGTTTCATCATCTGGGTGACATCGCTGTTAAGGGTATTTTCGAACATAAATCTGCTAAAATCTCAGTCGTGGCCAAACTGTTTGCACAGAATTCTATATTGACGTTATTGTTTACATGTATGAAGTAGTTACTGAGTAAATGCCCGAATGGTAACAGAGAAGGAAGCGAGCGTATGATCGGACAAACGCGTGCGAGTTGTTATTTTGGTCTGTATAAGTTGTTTTGAGCATTTGTTTGTCAAAACACACATACATACCTGTTCTGTATAAAAGTGGTGTGCTTTTGGTATAATATTTTTTTCGAAACAGATCAACGCTTTGTTCAGACAATTTCTCTGAACTCCTTGTAGAGTCATGCCTCGTCACGTGCCAGAAGTACCAAAAATGGTATAAAGCAAACGGATATATCTAGAACAGTAGGGTACCATCAGTGTCCTGTATCCAGAATCCTGAAACATCATCTGACTACAGGAAACGTTGTTCCAGGAAAGTCTACTGGTAGACGCCAGAGAACTACTGCCCGAGATGACCGTGTTTTGATCAGATTAACATGTCGAGGTTGAAAGAAGTCTTGTAACACCTTACGACAAGAATGGCATGAACACATTCACTCCTGAGTATCCAGAATCCTGAAACATCATCTGACTACAGGAAACGTTGTTCCAGGAAAGTCTACTGGTAGATGCCAGAGAACTACTGCCCGAGATGACCATGTTTTGATCAGATTAACATGTCGAGGTTGAAAGAAGTCTTGTAACACCTTACGACAAGAATGGCATGAACACATTCACTCCTGAGTATCCAGAATAACAGTGAATAAGAGTCTAGCCAAACCAGATTATTTTGCAAGAAGGGCCACTTGCAAACCGATATTAACCAGAATTCACCACCGTCACCATGTTACTTGGGTAAGACAGCATTCCAGCTTACAGTTAGTACACTGACGACATGTCATCTTTTCAGATGAGTACTGTTTCCGGCTTGTTAAAGTTGATGGTAGGATTCATGTTCATCGTTTGACTAGAGAACAGATGAGGAAAGACTGTTTTTTCCACAGGGAATACACAGAAGGTGGTTCAGTAGATGTTCAAGGTAGAAAACTGCTCTTTATATCCTTAAACCAGTTACTCTAGATTGTCTTTCCCTCAAGGAGCACGCAGGGGGCGGTAAAGTACATGTTTGGGCAGTTATTCATCATGGTGGAAAAACTGCTCTTTATATTCTCCAGGGAAACGTCAATGGCGCCTCCTACAGACATCATATGGATACGATATTTCTGCCATGTGCTAGATATCCATATGACAATGCCACTGTTCACGGTGCGCGTATTATACATGATTATCCCGACCAGGAAGACGTTACAAGATTGCCATGGCCAGCAAAGTCTCCAGATTGTAATTCCATTGAGAACTGTTGGGCAGAACTGAGCTGGAACATTGCTAACCACGACCCTAAATGTAATGCACTGCGAAATCCTAGTCTGCTACACAGTCCAAAGTACACGTTCTTCAGCTGTTTTAAGAACCCGAAATTCAATTAACATGTTAAAAACATAAAGGCTCAATTAATCTGATTGCGTGCTGTTTTGTAAAGATGTACTGTTAAAAACCTAAAAGTGTGAACTTTCTGACTGCCTGCGATTTGTGAAGATATGTTGTTAAAAACGTATAGGTTTGAATGTTCTGGTTGTATGCTGTTTAGTGAAGGTGTATTGTTAAAAACATAAAAGTGTGAGTGTTCTGGTTGCCTGCTGTTTGTGAAGATATATTGTTAAAAACATAAGGGTTTGAGTTTTCTGGTTGCCTGCTGTTTGTAAAGATGTATTGTTAAAAACACAAAGACTCAATTAATCTGATTGCATGCTATTTTGTAAAGATGTATTGTTAAAAACACAAAGACTCAATTAATCTGATTGCATGCTATTTTGTAAAGATGTATTGTTAAAAACACAAAGGCTCAATTAATGTGATTGCATGCTATTTTGTAAAGATATATTGTTAAAAACACAAAGACTCAATTAATCTGATTGCATGCTATTTTGTAAAGATGTATTGTTAAAAACATAAAAGTGTGAGTATTCTGGTTACCTGCGGTTTGTGAAGATATAATGTTAAAAATCAAAAAGGTTTGAGTTTTCTGGTTGCCTGCTGTTTGTAAAGGTGTATTGTTAAAAACATAAGGGTTTGAGTGTTCTGGTTGACTGCTGTTTTGTGAAGAAGGTTGGTTGATTGTTTTGAATTTCGCGCAAAGCTACAAGAGGGCTATCTGTGCTAGCCGTCCCTAATTTAGCAGTGTAAGACTAGAGGGAAGGCAGCTAGTCATCACCACCCACCGCCAACTCTTGGGCTACTCTTTTACCAACGAATTGACCGTCACATTATAACGCCCCCACGGCTGAAAGGGCGAGCATGTTTGGTGTGATGGGGATTCGAACCTGCAGAGCGCCCTAACCACCTGGCCATGTGTGAAGAAGGAGATATAACTGTATAACGCAGAATTACTCTCATGTTCGTTTGTAGAGGAAACCACTATTCAACACCCACAAAATCTTAGATTATTCGAGTAGTGTATTGTTTGTCATTCGCTTTCTGGCAAGAATTTTGCGAATAATCCACTGACGAATAGGATTTGTTATGCTCGAAAGCACTCAATGGATTTTATTAAATCCACACTTACCTGAAATGGTAGCAATTTTGAATTATGTATTCTTTTTTAGTATAATTGTCAGAATCCTTTGGTGATTTTTGTTTGTTTGTTTGTAGTAAATCACAATGCTACAGAATTCGATGAGGTCACGTGTTCAGGGTGAGCCCTTTATTTGTTACTCTTTAGCTTAAATTTGATTTCCTGTAAGATCTTTACATAAGTAACTGTGTCGAATTTAGAATGATAATATTTTGGGAAACTGCTACAAGGGTTCGGAATCACCCAGTATATGTATTCCTTAAGTTGTGTGTGTGTTTTTATAAAGCATGATATATTAAGATTATTTCTGTTATAAGGTCTGTTCGGTAAGCCATTTCACCTCTTAAAACACGCAGATTATAGGTTAGTCGATGTAAAACAATTAAAGACTCGTATCTTAGCTTTGCGTTGATTGAACTTCATAATTACCAACTTGGAACAACATTTTATTTCACATTATTCTAAAACGAAAAGTTGGCTTCCAGCCAACGATGGTAGATGACGTCGCCAATAAGCGATTTTGAGTTGTTATTTTTTAACATATATAAATATTTTCATACTTTGTAAGCTTGTTCCATGAAATCACATGTTTACTAATTATGACAAATCACTGGCACGGCATCTTATAAATGCTGGAATCTAATTTAAAAACAAACAAACAAAAAACACGTGGGTTAGTGATAAGTTTCTGATATTGAACGTGTAAGAGTTCAAGAGTTCAAAGAAAAGATACATTATAGGATTTTCTGCAATTTAACAAAAACCAAAAAAAAAACTTTTGAGTTATTAAAATTTTACGCCTACATGTTAACAACTGGTAAAAAATAGGTCAAGTAATTTCTATAACATTAATTTTTAAACTGAGCAGCACCCTATGCGACACACAGACTAAACCTCCAGGTCAAAGATCCCCCAGTATTCAAATATAGCCACCAATAATTTTGAA